TATAGTTTTAGAATATAATATCTATATATAAATTAAATTAATATAATATAAACTATATAAAGAATTTAAATTAATTTTAATATTAAAATAACTATAATAATTAATATCTTTTAACTATATTATTAAACTATTATATTTAAAGAACTTATAATTAAAGTAAAGTATAATAATATCTTAATAATTATTAATAGATTTATAAAGTATAAATACTTTATACTATATAAAGAAGTAAGTTTTATAAAAAACTTTATATATTAAGTCTTATAATATATAATTATAAACTATAGACTACTTAATAAAATAATATTAAATAAAGAAATAATATTTACCTTTAAGTTTTAATAATTACTTATAATATAAATAAGTATAAAATATAAACTTTTAATAGCTTATTACTTATAAAGTAATAAGTAAATAAAATATTTAAATTAAATATTAAAATAATACTTATAAGTATATATTAATTATAAATAAAATAATTAAGTATAATTATTACTTATAGTATAGATTATATATAATAATATAATATAAAAATTAACTTAATTATTATTAATATATATAAACTATAATTATAAACTAAAGTTCTTAAGTAAATTAAAACTTAATAAACTTATAATACTTATTATTATACTTATAAAAGAAATACTATATTTATTATATATAGAAATATAAATTAAACTAAAATTTATATAATAAAAAATAAAAAAATATTATAATAAAATAAGATTAAAGAGATTAATTTTAAAAGAGAGAGATAAAGTTTATTTATTATAAAAAAATATTATAATAATAAAATTAAATAATAAATTAAATTATAAAAACTTAAACTATTTAAAATTAAAAATAAAAAATTAAATACTAATTATAAATTATTATTACTAAATATAATATATATTTATTTAGTTTTTTATATTTTATTACTTAAGAAAGTATTAGAAAATATATTAAATTAGAATTACTTAATTAAAGTTTATAAAGAAGAGTTTAAATTAAAAAGAATCTTAAAAAAGAAATTAAAAATAAATAAATATTTTATTTAGTAAAATAAAAGAGTTATAATAAAAATAATAATATATAAGAACTTATTAAATATTTAAAGAATTACTAATATTTAATATACTAATTCTACTAGAAAAAGAAAGATTAATAACTTTACCTTAAGTAATACTATTAAAAAGATCCTCTATAAAAGATTAAAAGTAAAGCTAGAAAAATTAATAGCCTATATAGTATATAAAGTCTAAACCTAAAATACTAGCTTAACTTCCTAAGCTTATACTTACTCTAGCTCCTTTTAATAACTTTTCTCTTTTACTTCTTTTTATTTTTTCTCTTCTAACTTCTTTATATTATTTAAACCTTTTTTTAATATTTTTATACCTTTCTTATAAAGCTACTTTTATATCTTATATAAATAAGAAATTTATATAAACACTTTAGTTAATACTACCTCTACTTAAGACTCTTTATCCTTTAAATAAAAAATCTCTTTATTAATTTTCTTAATTATATAAAAAATATTAAAATAAAGGTTAAAATATAAAGGGAATAAAATACTTACTTAAAGATATTAGTAATTATAAATAATTATAAAAGTAATCTAAATAATAATAAGTTATATAGTAATTAATATTAAGGATAATAAAGTATATTATCTCCTTTTTAATATAGTATAAATATAATAGTACTTTAAACCTATAGGTAAGAATATATTCTAACTTTTAGGTATAATTATATATTAATTTAGATTTCTTTTATTTTAAGATATAGCTAGATATTTTATTAGTATAATATATAATAAAATAAATATAGAGCTAAGTATATATTATAGTAGTATTAGGAGATAACTTAATCTTAAGGATAAGATTAATAAGGAGGGGGTATTATATTATAAATAAAGGCCTTTATTAAGCTATAGGAAGTTATATATAAGGTAGATTAATAATAAGCTATTTTAGTAATTAATAAGAGGTTAACTTTACTTAGACTAAGTAAAGTCCTAGGTGAAAACCTTTATAAACTTACTAGTAAACACTTTAGTATATATATATATTTATTTCTTAAATAGAAATACTCTCTTAAATAGTTATTAATATAATTATTATTACCTTTATTAAAACTAGCTCCTTAGTACTTATATATTAATAGTAACTTATATAGTATTAAGATAACTTAATTATACTACTTAGAATAATACTCTAATTAGTTTAACCTTAACTTACCTTAGACTTTATCTAGTATAAGTTAACTAACTATTATAATTAATTAATTAAATAAGATTATCTAAGTCTTTTATAAGCTAAATTAATTATAAAATAATAAATTAAAGATTTTAGTCTTAAGAAAGAAGTAAAATATAAAGATAAGAAATAGTAAATTTTAAAGAAGCTAGGTATTTAACTTTACTTATTTTTTTTCTAGATAAAGGCCTTAATAGCTAATAGCAGTTTCCCTTTACTCTTAATATATAGAGGAGTGCAAAGCCTATTTTTCACTTTCTTCTTTTATGTATTTGCTGTAATTCTAAAGCCTTTAGGTTTGCTATGGACTGCTTGCAAAATATAGTATCTAAAATCTATCCCTGGTCATAATCGTGCTAAATGACGGGCTATTCTAAGAAGATAAAGTAATCCAGCCTCTGCATGGTGGCTTTCTACCACAAACTGCTCGAATAGACTACCTCGCGACGAGAGGAAATTTCAAGGGTGGCGGTCACATTGACGTTTTGATGTGTTTGAATGTTTTCTTCTTTTGTCTTATTGCTAGACAGCTGCTTCACTTCATCATATCAAATTCCAAACTTCCTATTGACGACTAAAAAAAGGTCTGCGCCGTTGCACCAAGAGTCTCTCCTCTAGCCGGGCTCTACGCTCCGGTTTCAAATATTTAGCCCAGCAAGTCCCGTCTATATCGGGAGTTTTCAAGAACTTCAACAGGGTGGTAGGGTCTTCCTCCACCATTGATATGAAGGGTGAGTTGATCTTCAGGAGCGGTTCATACTCCATATAGCCATCCCAAGAGTTCACGTGTTGAAAATAAAAGGTAATCGAGTTTTTGGGCTCATTATTTTCCGCATCAAATTGGTAGAGGTCGTCGAAACCATCGTTCAGTTGTCGGAAAGAACGGACTCTCGGTACTTCTTTTCCCGTTGAAAACATTTGCCAATGGATGTAGATGCGGGGAATAGGATTTTCCGAATTGAAGTGCACGACAAGGTCATACAAGAGTCCCATCTTGATTCCGGTTTCTTGCAGGTGCTGATACTGGCTTCCAAGCTGAGCAGGGACACAGCGACCGAACCGATCTATATACTCATGATGACTGAAAATCTTTATTAACTCGAGCTTTGCAGGCGGTTGGACCGGAAACATGCGCCTCCATGAAGCATTTTCATGGAGCATTCTTTCACGATAAAATTCATCAGTGTACCAATCCAAGTTACAAATTATCTTATTGAATTTGTAGAAAGAATCCACGTCGTCTGGCTTTTTCAGCGAAAACAATACTGGGAACCGGCGTTTGAGGATTGGATGTAGTTCTGGTGTGGTTCTCGTTGGGTCTGGTGCGAAGAAGAGCTTTTGCTGTAGCACAGTCGACTGTTCAATGAAGCTCTTGAAATGAGTATGGACCAGCTGAGCGAAGAGTAGCTCTTCAATGTCGAGGTTGAGGAGAATGCAGTCGAAGATTTCTGGTATGGTGAAGCATCGACGCATTGCGCGTCGTGCCTTTTGGCTCTGGCGCGTTCTCATTTTGTGGCATCAACGTACAGCTGAGTGAATGCTTCTGGGAAGGCAAATGTAATCCTTACTGGAGAATAAGTAGTTGCCCCTAGAAGAGCCAGCATGATGTGACTCCTGGCCGACTGCTTGTGACTCATCCATGTACCACTAGAAACGCGCAAACAGGGAAGAGTGCAGAACTATTGGCACCAAAGTCGCGAATTGCTGATGCTGCCAAGATGAAATATGGGATCATGCGGGAATATAATCATCCGATTGTGTTACCACTCTGAGTGAATACGAGACGAATCGCTACGGCTGTCGGAAAACACATTAGGGCTTCCAAACAGGCAACACCAACTAGCGGGCTTAACAATGGACTGGTTATGAAGCCCTATTCCCTTTGGACACCAGTTAGATAAACCCCGGATGAGGTAATAGCTTTTTCAACTGTATTGCACTCTATAACTACGGTATTCCCAAATGCAACAACTCTGAAGTTGAGGTTGGGTGCATACGCTGAGGGCACCCTTCTTCAGTTCTCTATCCCACTTTTCTCTTCACTTTTGGTTTTCGCAGGTGCACACCCCATTCATCCATTGCCTTTGACTCTGGGTCAGAACGAATTGCGAAAGTCATCATGCGATTCTACGACCGACGAACACGCTCGATGCAGGCCGCGATCGAATACGACACGAAAAAGGGCCTCCGTCACGGTACCAATAACTCACGACTAGAATAGCCACAATGATACTCGACCGGCCGTGCGATATCTCAAGATTGTAAAAGAGTGAGGGTAAATCGCAACATGCGTATGCTGAGAAAGATAAACTACCGACAGCGCCTTTCGCTGGTTGAAACATCTCCATGACAAATACTGCCACGTTATCCTCGGCATAGAAACAAAAGATACAAAAAGGTGTGGGCAGACGGAAGATTATTTCAGTAGTGCTCTAGACTCTTACCATATGCGGCTTGAATTCGCCCATCTCTGCTGCAACTGCCGGCTGTTCGTGCTATCAAAGTTCTCTAATGACAAGGGCTGTTCTGCAAGTTCTGCTAGAGATACAAAACTCAATTTTGGCGCTTTGGCCTCCCGTGAAACCTTCCAAGAAAATTAAGTTGCGGAATAAGTACAGTGAGTGCATATAGACCAAGTTTATCAAGCCATAATGCACATTATTTCCGACAGAGGCAATAGAACATCAGGGCGCAGTAGGGGCGATTCTGCTTACATTGGAATGGAAGGTATAGTAAGGTAAAGATTCATGTTGGCAGTTATGGACTGTGAAAATTTCTTCAACACTTGGCAGAAGGCAACAAGGTGGTGTTAATATAACATCCAGAGCCATCAACATTCCACTTCCTAGACATAAGCCGGAATCAAGTATTAAGACAAGAACAGTGCCATTTTCTCTTCCCATACGCTTTAATATATCGCAGTGATTATTTAAAATCGCGTTGTTATTTCCAAGGAAGCAATACCACTTCCATACTTGAAACATTGAGATTGAGTATGTGATTTCAATGTGCCAGATCTCTGGAAGGATCCCTAACGGATTCCCACACTTGCTTGAGAATCTTCAGTGGAATAAGGGCGGGTTTATCTACCACATAGACAGAATCCTATTCATCACAGGTTGACCAGCTTGATGCATCCATTTCCTAATACACCCAAGTTCAGGCTAACAGTTTCTCGGTTATGATTCCTCTAGCGCGGGAACATGGCAGTTCCATGTCCAGGGCCTCGTCCCCGGTCGGACTGTTTTTCTTCACAAGGTGCTTTTCTGACACCCAGTGAATCATGGCCCACGATATTTAATGGTGTAAGACTGATGAGTCTTGTTGGAGTTGGCCAAGTACTCGCTACAGGGAGGATGTGACGAGGAGCTGGTGTTTCAACTTTCGTCGACTCGAGTTGTAAAAGGGAGCTTCGGCATGCCCCGACGCTGTAGAAGCGGTGTGTGGTGTAGAGGCGCTCCTAATGGCTACCGCAACACATCAGGGAGCTTGCCCAGGTGACATCCTAATCGGCGGTATGGTCCGCAAGGACAAGTGAGACCGAGATTGGCCACCCTTGGGATGGTTGGGTCTGGCATCTCCTGCTCCACCGGTTTGGACCAACTTATTCCAGCCACATCATGATGAGCATCACACATCGTATCGTATCGTGCATCGTAGTCGGCGTCGCGATACCATCCAACCTGCTTCAACGCGCTCTTCTCCTCCTGCCGAATAATCCAAGTTTGCCGGCGAAGCGGAATGAATTGGCCGAGCTTGCTTCAGATCGTTGAGACGGGGGCCCCGGTGGCTCGCAACGTTCGTCCTTCTTGCCGCCCTTCGGATCGCATGGAGGTTGCCGGGTTAGTCGGCAGGTCGGATCTGTGTGCTGCTTATCCCACTCGCAGCCTCTGTCACCACACACGTCGATGAGAACCCAGCTCCCGTGGATGCAACGGACGATTCCAGGGCGAAAACAACCAAGCACGTTTTCGTCTTTCGGCAAACAGGCGCCAAGATCGGCCCCCGGTACCGACTGCGCCAGAGCGAAGGCGGCAAGGAGGGACAACAACTGAAGAAGGATGAATTTCATGGTCGCGGCGACTCGATTGAATAGCGGACACGCGGTTTGCTCACGGAGCCATGAGGAGAGCAGCAGCGTTTTTCGTTCTTGATGGGCCAGCCACCTATCCCGCAGCTCCCGGAGAGGTGCGAAAGAGAAACATCGACCATACAAACAAATGAGGGAAAATTTGTTCTCTAATGAAACGCTCGCTGTGAAGATGTGCCCGGCGCCCATGCGCCCGTTGCAATCTCCACCATACTGCCAAGATGCCAGATGCGACACTCTCTGCCATCGAACACTTGGGCACTGACAGAAACAGCAGCTTAATGGTGCTTAAATCATGCTTGTTTCATTTCATACCACCACGGTATCTTTGAACGGCAGCTCCCTATCACGGCTCTCCTCCTCCGTGCCGTTTCAGGTAGGCAAAGGTGGCGATCGTCTCCATCCTGGCGTCTGAGTTGCGACCGCTAGACTGCTTCTCGATTGACACCTTCTACAAGGGGTTTGGTCGCTCGGTTGTCTGATTCGGCCTTTTTCAAGACAGGCATCTTGCAAGGAGATCCCACTGTTTTGCCTCTGTTGCTTGGGCCGACTTCCGTCCCCGCCAAGTGTTTGGAAATTGCGCCAAATCTTGCTGTATTGTGCCTTTTCTCACTCTTTAATCCGTACACCCGTCGATGATGCAGGTACAGTGATTATCAGTGGAATTGACAAGCCAAGCGTTGTCAATCATCTCCACCACAATCACAAAACAATAGCCGTTGATCAGGAGGATAACTGATTTCAAACCCAGGGTTTCGCAATTGTATCACCACATCTCGTCAGCCCCTCAGCCAACCTCCTTGCCTCGGACAAAGATTGACAGTGCCCACCAACATATAGAAGCACAGCCAAACTCAATAACACACAACTTTAGACGCTCATAGACCTACAAAATACGTAAACTCTTAAGTTTGGCATACATAGCAACGTGGCACATAAGAATAGTTTCATGTGAGAACCACGCGGGAATAGTTGATGGAACTACCATTGGTGACATTCATCGGCTGCGATGCTCAACCAGATCCAGCCTATACTGCTTTTCGCGTGACCATCGCTTGATGGATATTCACATTGCCGATGTGACCTTCTCACATAGCTCAAGGCTACACAGATAGGTAATAGAATGGATAAATCCCTTGTCCGAAAGGAGGTAGCAAGCGTAAAAATAGCCCGTCGCCATTTCGGAACCCAATTCAATTTTCCGAAGAGCCTGCACGATCTCGCCTCAATGAGCAATCCAGTTGAAGGGATCCCCCACTGCCTTTGCTTCGTGGACGAGTCGGAATCAACTTGTTTGAGATCTGATGTGGAATCGGACGGCGTGCCTCCGCCTGAATTCACCCTGTTTCCGAAACTGTCGCGGATGATGCGGAGCGACCGGCCCGTTTGGGATTCAAGTTCAACATCTGACCATGATCGAAAGGTTTGGGGTTTGGCTATGTTTGCTTATAAGGCCATATCCTCTAGGAAATTCGCCAATACATGTAGCTTTGACGTTAGAAATAACACTAGTGAAAACACAGCATTTCAGAGCGAACCGCATTTCTACATCTTCCATTATGAAGTTGACAACGTTGACCGCCGCCTCGTTTTGGGCTACTCAAGCAGCCGGCCATTATATCTGGAACCAACTCGATATTGGCGGCACCACGGGTTCCATTGGTCAGGGAATCCGCCCAAACAGCAACTACAACTCGCCAGTTATTGGTATGAATCTATCGAGCAAGCCAGAGAATCATAGATCGCTAACCCTTGAGCAGATCTCACATCCAGTGATCTGAGATGCAACGTTGGTGGACTTAGTGGCTCTTCCACAGTAGTCAGAGACCTCCAAGCTGGTGGCCAATTCACCTTCCATACCGACGTAGTATGTCTACTCAACAATATATGACCTTCACCCTTCTATAAGATGCAATCTAACTAGAACCCCACACTAGGCTGTTTACCACCAAGGGCCTGTCTCCGTTTACCTTTCGAAAGCCCCCAGCTCAGTGCAGAGCTACGACGGCAGTGGCTCCTGGGCCAAGATTGCCGATCTCGGTACGCCGTTCAACACCTCGCCTGAACTTCTCATAGGCATTATATGGTTGCTGACGAAGATGTGATAATCAGGGCCTACATTTTCTGGCAATACTGCGACATGGCCACTCGCACGTACGTTCATCCGGTCTTATAACAACCGAGACAATCAAACTAATGTCGTCGCTTCCATACAGAAACCTACACCTTTAAGCTCCCCAGTTAGTCAAGCTCTGTATCCCGCTTCTAAAAACTGACAAGTTTCGACTCTAACTTGCCCTGATGGGTAGCTTGCCTCCCGGATGGAGAGTATTTGCTCCGCATTCAGCAGCTGGGCATCCATAACCCATATCCTGCCGGCATC